TCTTGCGGCGCTGGGCCCCCCGCGCGCTCCCGCTCTGCGGCCCCTCCGCTCGCTGCGTCGGGCACGGAGCGGCCCCGGCCCCGCTCTGGACCCCGCGGCTGCTCGGCGAGAACCGGCCCCGGGCAGGGACCCCCTCGGTGCTCAGCAGGTGCGCGGCTTCTCCCTGGTGCAAAAAACTCTTAAAAAGGGTTTCAGATATATATTGAGGAGTTTCTATATGTGTTATATATACGTACTTAATATATGTTTTTATTTGTATACCTTATATGTTTTGTATGTATTATATTGTTTAATAGAAATAGAAATAATTTAAAATGCATTTATATTAAAATGTATTTATGCATAAATACATTTAAGAACATACATTTTATTCTACTGCATGTATATTACATAATATTTAATACACTGAATTTATGTAGCCTATAACATATATAATATATAATTTATTGTTGTGTGTATTAATGTTATATTGTTAATATATATATAATTATATATATAATTATATATATATAATATATTAACATATTATGTTTTATATTTAATGATACAACGCTATTTCATATAACATATACAATATGTGTAGTATATATGTTGAACAGATACAGATATAAATATTATAGAATCATAGGTTGGAAACTGCCTCTAAGATCATCAAGCCCAACCCTTAGACCAGCATTGCCAAGGCCACCACTAAATCATGTCCCCAAGTGCCACATCAGCACAGATTTTACATCCCTCCAGGGATGGTGACTTTACCATTGCCCTGGGCAGCCTGTGCCAGTGCTTTACAACTGCTTCTGTGAAGAAAGTTTTCCCTAAAGTCAATCTAAATCTCCCCTGGCAAAACTTGGGGCCATTTTCTCTTGTCCCGTTGTTTGTTTCCTGGGAGAAGAGATTAACCCCATCCCCCATATATATTTATATATAAGATAGATAGATAAGACAGACAGACAGACAGACAGACAGATAGATAGATAGATAGATAGATAGATAGACAGACAGACAGATGCACACATGTATAATGTATAAACTGCAGTCTGACACTCTTGGGCACCTTGGCACTCTGCAATGGGTCTGTGTTAGCCTCAGAGCCTCTCACTTCAGTCACCATTAATGCTTGGAGTAGGAGGCAAATTAGGATATTCTTTGCAGCCATATTTTACAATTAGGCTTGTACTCACTACTGTTTCTCTTGCTGCTGAGGGGTGTTGGACTAGTTACAAGGTCCCTTGCAACTCAAACTATTTTGTGATTAATATTCTAAAAGTAATTTCTGAATCCAAGTAACAGCTGAATATTGGCTTCTGAGTGTTTGACTGCTTTTAGTAGATTTAAAAAAAAAAAATGCTCTGTGTGGAACAATGAGTTTGAGTCCAGTCCTGCAGTTGGTATCCTACACCCATTAGGTGCTGTGCTGTAATATTAGAGGAATCCTTGTTACCCTTCAAACAAGCCACAGCCCTTCTGATCTCTCTATGCGTGTATGTGTGATAAAGGCAATGATTACTTTTAGAAAAAGGTGTTTCATTCCTGTTCTGTTTTCCTCCCTGATTTGGGGTTGGTTTGGTTTTTTTTCAGTGTCACACCTTTACTTACAAGCTTACTCCAGCAGCCAGCGAGGACCCTCACCTACTGCAGCTTACGGAAAGGAAAGAGGAAAAGTGTGAAATCTGTGGTCAAAAGGTTCCTCCGGTTGCACAATGGCCTCTGGGTTAGGAGAAAGGTGAGATTTTTTTGGATAATGAGAGCCTGTTCTTTACAGTCGGTGTAAAGTGTAATTGTTTACCTTCCTTGGGAGAGACAATGGTTGGTGTGGAAGTTAAAAAAAGCTCTGTGGAGAGACTCCTGTTTTCCTGAAAGTGGGGGATTTGTCCAGGTTTGCTGAGCAGTGTGGCTGTGTCTGTGTATTTGCAGTGACCTGCTAAGAAATGGGTTTTTTTGTGTGTGTTTTCTCCTGACAGTCTGGTTATAAGAAGAGGTTGTGGAAGAAGTCAGCTGCCCGGAAGAAGCGTTTGAGGGAGTTAGTGTTGTGCACGAGGACACAGTGTAAACTCCTGGATAAAATGACCACTTCCTTCTGGAAAAGGAGGAACTGGTACATTGATGATCCCTTCCAGAAGTACCACGACCGCACAAATCTTCGTGTGTAGAAATCTTGGGTTTGCACATCTCTAGGAAAGGGGGTGTGGTCATGTGGCATGGTCTGGATTTTGGAATGTACATCTCTAATGCCTGTACTTTTTTTAAATAAACATGTGCATATCATCTGAGCAGAATTATGGGAATCAATGACCACAATAAAGGAAAACTCGAATTTATCTTCAACTGCAGTTTGTGTTTTACTTAGCAGAGGTCAGTCTGGTCACCCACACATTCTGATGTCTGGTTGTTTCCTGTGGTTGTCTGACATGGAGGAACACACTAAACAGCACCAAAAGTGAAAAATTCAACATATTTAGTCTTATTTTTTTAAAATAAGTATGTTTAAATAACCCCATAATCTTATTTTTGTGTATCCATAGTTACTGGTGGCTCACTGAATGGAGTCTTCTGGGGAAGAGGACAGGGGAGAGCAGAACCCATCTCAGCATTGTTGCCTGTCACAATAACACACTTGCCTTGTGTCCCTGCTAGAAAGTGTAGGGAAAAAAGCCAACACAAATCAGAGTTTCACAGCTACATGCTGGTTTTATAACTAATTTTAAAGTGTACTGGCCACCATCTGTCATTGCAGGACTCACATTTTGTGTCATCTGTTGATTTTTGAGTAGCCAAATCTATTCTTTGTGTCCTACATGACATCCTTAGGCAGACAAGTCAGAGTAAATTGTTTATTTTTCCTTTAAGCCTAACTACACCTTGCACTGCACGTTCCTGGTCACACATAAATGGACCAAACCCAGGGATTTATCATGGGGGCTGTTTGGAGCGAGCAGATCAACTAGCAAACTAGCAAAAACCCTGTTTTTGCTAAGGGTTGGATCAGATGTTTTCTCTACAAAGCTGATACTCCAGAAAGGATATGAAAGCAGTACTTTAGCATTCCCTGATAACCCGTTTTTGAGCAGACAGTCCCTGGTAGCCTGTATAGCAGAGGGGGTTAGCTGTACAAGGCTGTAGCATTGCAATGAATTCACTAGTTACTCAGAGTGTTCAGTAGCTGTATTTTGTTCTTTTTCCAGTTCATGATACAGAAAGTTCTGAAGGACATGCAGCACTTAGTGAATACATCTATATACAGTCAGCCAGAATTCAGATAAAAATAATACAGCAATCAAAGTGATTATTCTGGCCTGCCAGATACATTGAACAGACTAAAGATGTTTTTGTTTTTGTTTTTAATAAAGAAAAGATTAAGACTTTATTCAAGATGTATATCAAGCAGTATAACAAAACCAGCAAAACATCAACCTTTGGAATACTGTTGTAATGGCCGTCCTTGTGAGGCATCAAGTGTACCATTGTATCACAGACCTTTTCTACCCATCACAGGAAAGAAATCACACCAAGTGCACAATTATGAGCCTTAAATAGTTTGTCTAAATGCAAATCCCAACGTGTTCTCTGCTAGTTCAAATGTGCTGGATGCAAAACAGGTACCTGAAACTAACAGCAAAAGGGAGACTGTGGGTGAGGAGCACAAGGGTTCATCACAACACGAGGACTTGCCAGCAGCCAGAGGCAGCAGGTTGTTTACAGAAGGAGCATCATCTCTCTCCAAGCGGCTTTCTCCCTCCTAGCAGGAATAAACTGCCTGATTTTCTTTCCTTCTGTGCTGGGTTTGCACTTCCACAAGGTTTTTGGGCTGATTCATTCCAGGATGACAAGGACACACGTGAAGTCTGTCTTGTTTTTGATGGGATCCTGATTCAGCAGTTGATGACCACTGAAGCTGCACTGACACTGACCCTTACAGCAGGAGAGGAGGCACAGAGGGCTGCACTGGGCTGCTCCAGGCTTATTCTCTTCATAAGAGAGTGAGTTTATGGTAAATTGGGGAGGTCATTCACAGGCTTGTTTACCACAGACCATCTCCAGCTGCAGTTTCCTTCCCCTCAGCCTCAATTTTACATTCTTAAAATAATGCATGTTTCATTGGAGCCTTGGGATGGGTAAAGGCCACTTCCTAGAGCTGGCCTGTTCTCTTCAGAGTTCCAATCTCATAGCCCTCCCTGATATGGGAGCTGAGAACTGCTCCTTTCCAACACATGCCTAGGAAGCATCCATCCATCCATCCATCCATCCATCCATCCATCCATCCATCCATCCATCCATCCATCATCCATCCATCATCCATCCATCCATCCATCCATCCATCCATCCATCCATCCATCATCCATCCATCATCCATCCATCCATCCATCATCCATCCATCCATCCGTCCATCCATCCATCCATCCATCCATCATCCATCCATCCCCCATCCATTCATCCATCCATCATCCATCCATCCTCCATCCATCCATCCATCCCCCATCCATCATCCATCCATCCATCCATCATCCATCCATCCATCCATCCATCCATCCATCCATCCATCATCCATCCATCATCCATCCATCCCTGCCCCCTCTCCCGTGCCGGGTTCTGCACACCCTGCTTTGCCAGGAGGGGTCAGCAGCAGCGCAGGAAGTCGAGTCACCGAACCGTGCTTGCTTTGGCAGAGGCTCCAGAGAAAAGCTGGAACAGAAGACTTCTCGGGTGGCGTTTATCCGGAATGAACGCACGCAGCCCTAACTCTGAACTGACAGACTTGGGGCAGCCCCTGTAAACAACCTGTGTGAGGAAGGTGAGGAATCAAAGCGAGTGGCCGTTCTCGTCTGTACAGAACACTGGAGCACAAGGAGCACGAGTGCACGAGGTCAGGCATTCACATGTCTGTCTATTTATACACAAATATACAGCTCCGTTGATAATACATTTCTTCTTTTCCAGAGATATGAAAAGGTTTATTTTTCTCATTTATACAGTGAATGTTTTGAGAGATATAAGGCAACTCCCTTGTCAACATTTCACCTCAGCACTTAAGAAATGCTAAACAGTCAAGTTTACAGTAAAACAGCAGATTAGACGCACATTAAATAGTTTTAGTGAGAATCAATGTTAATACGGCGTGTCTGAGACTAGAACTTGTCAGATGTTATGCAGTTCTACGTTGTTGGGGTTATTTGGCATAAGTGAGTGCAAACTTGTCAGCTTCTTTTTTCTTACAGCAGCCCATTGCATAGCAGGGAAACATGGCTTGCTTGCAACAGGATTTTATTTTCTGCTAACAGTGCAGGCAGTTTTCCTATTTCTTTTTAATGTTAGCCAAAAGAAATCAAATAAACTCTAAAGCTGCTTAGAAGTAAAATATATAAGCTTAGCTTCTCAAAGCTTTTGCTGAGTATCTTCCAGGGACCGACTGTTCTGTAACTGCTCTTTAGACAGGTTTGTTTGGTTTTTTTTTAATTTACTTTCTGAAGAATTTTTTAAAATTTGCAAAATATGACTGAATCAGCACATGTAAAGGAAATAAAATTCTCAGGTAATGAGGCCAAATACTGTGGCAGACACAGGAAATACCTGCTTGCTTTTTCCATTTCCTAGCCAGGTCAGATAAACATTTCTGTGTGTGCGTTAATTTATTTCTTTCTTTCCCACACATGTAGGAAGCTGTGGGGGTGACCCCAAGGATCCACCAGATGGGCAGCTGGGATATGGATGCATGCCCAGCAGAGAAATGGTTTCAAAGGCCACTTCAGAGTTATCTCTGAGCCTGGCACACTCCAGCTGGATGTTGGCACCCTGGGCTGCTGCACCTGAGCCAGATGAACAGTGACACCATCGATCCCCTGTGCTGATCCACTGGTGATGGCACATCCTACATAATGCTAAATGCTTTGCTAGTCTATGTGACAGGTCTGAGAGCAAACACAAAGGGTCACGTAATTAACTTATGTGTGAATCTCACATGCTCAACACTTACAAGAGACACCAACTTGAAGCACAAATACACAAACCCTACCATGTCTTCCTCTTCTTTAATATTTCTCATTTATATATGGATACAAATACATCACTCCATCTGGTTCTTGTGGTTCTAACCAAACTCCAGGCTTCAAAAAGCAGCTCAGACCCAGCACCCTCCTCTGCTCATGCAAGCAGAAAGCAGGCCCTCAGCAGCAGAGCAGAATGCTGGGACTGGCACTGTTGAAGAAGGGGAGAAAGGTGTGCTTTCCCCTGGAAATGCATCACTAAAGCAATTCTAATTTCTGTTGCTGCAGCTTGCTCAAACCTGGCTTGCTCACACTTCACAACTCTCAGTAGAACATTGGCCACAAATGGTGGGATTTAGCTCTTCTACACATCATTTTCCACAAAATACTCTCCTGGCTCAGGCTGATCAAAATTAGGACTCCCCCTTCATTACATCACTGGAACCATTTTTTTTTCTCTTGCACATCACTTCCTCATCTTCTGTAAGTGGTTCTGTCTCTGTGGGTTTAGCACAATGATTTTCTCAGAGCATGTGATTTACTTGCAGAAAAACACAATTACAGCTCAGCTTTTGCTAACAAATCTTGGACATTTTGTATAGTCAAAGTACTTTGACATTTGTTACATCATTCACAGTCTTGAGGAGGAAGGGAGGAAAGAGAAATCCATAGGTTCTGCAAATCCACTTCATCCATGATAAAGCCATAAATAAATACGCTGTCAATGTAGCATCATGAATAACTGATTATTGTTGTTTCCACTGGGCATTCACAGAGCAAGAGCTATGCAGACACAAATGAAACTGTAAATGTACACTGTGGGTGGGTGCATACTCTGCAAACCAAACCAGGACCCCTCACCTGCAGGTGCCTGCCAGACTGTCCTACCCACGTCAGGGACAAACACCAGCAGCGTGTCACAGAAGGGTGCGGAGAGAGGAGGGAGAAAGGCCATGTCTACAGTGCTGTACATCAAAGCACATCCATCCCACTGCTGTTTCCTATGTTATGAATGAGTAGCTCTTTAAGGCAGAAGAGAGACATTCTGTGGATATTGGTGCTATCGGCTCATTGCACTCACATTGTTTCAGTGGCAGAGGACGAGGTACTTTTCTTCCTGAAGCGAGGTCTAAGGGTCCTAGGCGGTGCCTGCAGAAAAGCAAGACAAGATGTTAGAGGCATAGCAGAAAAAATCTTTTCTTTCCTTAAAACTCACCCATCTTTATGGGACCTCTGTGACAAGGATCCCGTTCCACACATGAAGTAATGCAGAAGTTTTGGCCCTGAAGATCAGTAATGAATGGCCAGATGAGGACTAATCTCTTTAAGGAACCTGTTGTATACCCA